TGGGGTCAGAGATAGTATAGTGTGTAGGGGGCTTGCCTTACAACTAGCCTGAGTTCAATCCAGAATCCCACCAGGAGCCATGCCTACATGCAAATCCAGAAGCCCTGAGCACTGCCAAGTGTGACCGTAAAACCACTCTCCCCACCACCGAAACAAATCCAAACCAAAAAAACCTTACCCCTTTTATTTCCAACAGATTTGGGATGGGAAGAATAAGAAATTTGACTCAGGATAACCTGAGGAAGAGGTTCTGTCATTTTTGTCAATCAAAGCATTTTAATGTAAATTCTTAAGGTGCTTTAACAAATAAATTTACTGGGGTCTGTCCTATACTGACTGATTTTGAATCTCTGAACTTTGGACTCCAATAAACCTTTTTTAAGTTCTCCAGCTGAGAGTGGTGCATAATAGAGTTTGAGAGCCTAAGGGAAGTAAGTAGAACACTGAATGAAGAGTTTTTGGTGTTAGTAATTTGCAGTGGAACAAGTTCTACTCCTAAGAAGAAATGCAGAACATTGGGGTGGGGCACATGGAGATGACAGATTATTAGAGGGCCTTTCCTTGTATAGAAGCTGTTAGGGTAGAGTAAGGTGCCATGGTGAGAGACTCTGGAGGATTAGTGGCCTCTGGATCCCAACCAGAACTCACCCAAAGGACCTTAGGTACAAGCACTGTTTGAAGTTTATGGACAGCAAACAGTGGTCTTCTATTTTTCCAATCGAATATGGGAATAAGATGCACTTAGAAAATGGAGCTCATTTGGTATTCACTCTTCCATTATTTACCCAGAGCTTCTCAGCTTAAATCTTAATATCAAGTTCCAAGGCTCACAGAATATTCTGGGGGTGGAGGGAATACAGGTCATTTTAGTGTTCCTGAAAACAAAGCTCTCATCTGGATTCCATTCAACCCCTAAACATGTACTGAACAAGGTTCAAATCTGTTGAGGTTTTATCCTAATGATACTGAATAATAGTGCAGTTACTTATTGCTTAGACACTTTAGATACAGTTGATATCTTGGTTCAACTCCTTACTAATACCTACTAGTTATATAATCCTGGGTTAAAGGTTTACCCTAACAGAAACTTATCTGTAAAAGAATAATACAATAATAATAATGCCTACCTTAAAATATTTTGATAATTAAGACAATGAGACAGCTCTGGAAGTACTTTGCTCATGGTGAATGTTCCACAAATTTTATTTACCAAGTATTAAATATTAAATGTTACCAAATAATCATGTTTATTAAGTATTATTCATTCTGTATGCTGTTATTAGCCAGGTGCTAGGGAATGTAAAGATGAATAAGATTCTCTGCTGCCCAATTTCCCAAATTTTAACAAGAGATATAGGTATGTAAATAACACTCCATTGTTGACAAGTGCCAAGTTAAGACTATACCATGAGGGCCGTAGCAATATTACAGCAAGTAGAGCACCTGTTTTACATGCAGCTGACCCAGATTCAATATCTGGCACCATGTATGGTGCCCCAAGCCAGCCAGGAGTAATCCCTGAGCTCAGATCCTGGAGCACAGAACCAGGAGGAAGCCCTGAGCACTGCCCTGTGTGGCCCAACAAACAGATTTTTTTTAAATCCATGAGAGTATGAGAAGAAGGAGATACAACTTTTCAGAGAGAAAAGGAAAAAAAACTTGCTAGATTTGAGCAATCTCAACGGTTTGGGGAACATGAAATGCATTAGAAATAATCGCAAGAATAGACAATAAAGATGTAATCTGGACTCAGCTCATGCAGGTCTTTGAATAGTAAGTAATAGTAAGTAAGGAGCATGCACTATTCAATATTTGGTTAATGGGGATCCATTTAATGATATAAAGCAAAATCAAGTATGTGGTAAGTTTCTTATATTTCAAAATATTATTCTGACCACCAACTAGAAAAATTTATCTCAGAGATCAAAATTTGGTGTCACTAAAATCAGCTAAAAAATGTAATATAATATTTAGTGGCAATGAAAGGCTTCAAAGGTGAATTTGGAAGACAGAACTTGGTATCTAATATAGAATTAAAGTTGGATTCAAGATGGATGTCAAATTTATGATTTGGTTAGACAAGCCAGTGGATTATATTTATCCAACACCAAATGAATATTTGCTTAAAATTCAGCAAGCCAAAACGTGGAGACATTTGGGATCTGTAGCTTTCAAAAAACTTAACCTTAGGAACATCAGAACTTTTTTTAGAATTCCTTGCCTTTGCAATTTCTATTAATTTTTGTATTAATTTTGTATTAATTTGTATTAATTAAACAATTTGTATTGTTTCTCTTTGAATTACATATTGGAGGGCATCATCTGTTAATTGGTTTAGAGCTTTTATAGAGATGGAGGCTAAGGTATTAATATTTCTGTGGTCCAGGTGATTAGCGATAGCACTTCATTAAGGACATACATGGGATGAGGAGCAAGTTTGGACTTCCTGCCTCTGTTCTTTGGCCCTAAGTGAAGGGAATTTTTGATCAGGCTGATAAAGGACTGGTAATCAGGTGGCTTTCTAGGGAGACACCGTTAATCCAATTCACATAGCTCTGTCCATGCTATGCCTAAGTCAATGTGCTTCAAATATTCAGCCACTAGTAACGGAAAAATAAGGGAGATTTTGATGGCAAGAAAGATCATGAATGCAAGCTGTTATAGTGATTTGAACGTCTAAGATAGAGTTTTATAACCTGGAGTCCAGAATTTTGAACTTATAATGCATATGCAGTTATGAGTACATGTACAGTATACATGCAAAAGTTCTATTTTTTTCAGAGTGACCTTTAGTCCTATAAAAATTTAAAAACCACCATAGCTGGATTTGCTATAAGGTAAATAAAGATGCTGTTTTAGAGTTCCTAACTGCCCAGGACTTTTCAAGTCCCTTAGAGGCTCTTGTAATTCTTTTTTAAATTAAAGAGAACCTTCTGTTCGTAATATATATTCTTTAATTCCAAGAATTTGGATCCATTTCTTGCACCACACATTAGGAAATTATCCAAAATGAGTTAATATCTAGGAGTAAATTCCATCCAAGAAAATGTAAAGGACTGTAAAAGACTAAAACCAGCTCTAGGAAAATCATAAAAAATGCTAACATGGTCTCTGAGGAAGGAAGAAAATCAAACCATTGTCAAATAAATGAAAGAAGAGGGATCCAATATGAGCTGATCGGGAAGGAGGGAAAATGCTGCAGGAGTAAGCAGGACACCTTCAGTGGAGAGGCAAGAACATAAATCTGATTGGTCTAGGTGCATTTCTGAACAATACTGAAAGGTAGTTGAACAAGTATAAATGATATCAACAGTTCACAGGCATGATGTGGAAGTGTGAGTACCAACTCCAAAGCCCTGAAATTCACTGTTCAGTTAGGATAAAATTAGTCACAGTAGCTTCATTATAAAAATGGAATCTATGCTGAAGTTAAGTTTGATGGTACATGTGTAATTTTCAAAATTAGTACAACTATGGTCCATGGCTAGTCAAAGGCTGTAAATCATCCTTGCCCTCCACGATCCCAACCTTTCTTTCCTAATATATCCAAATCTTCTGACTACTTAAATTTCTACTTCTGCATCATACCTGTTAGTTGGAGATATGGAGCAATGTAAGAGTGGAGACAGAAAAGAAACCTTAAGTATGATATTTTGACATGAAAGATTTCAAATTTAAAATTATGGATAACCAAAAAATTAGTAGTCCATATATGGTTTATTATAGGATATCTAAATTCCAGACCAGGAAATATCTATTTGAACCAAAATGTGCTAAATTAGCCTCTTTGACAATTCTAAGGTTTATTGCTTTCAATGAGGCAAGGCTGACTTGCTTACAAGGTCGTTATTTTTTTTTAAAATGTGACATGAACCTTATCAGCAATATATACTGGAATGTGCTAGCGTGTGTAATATGAAAACTGCTAGATGACATTTACAATGCTTCCATAGTAATTTCATCCTAGGTCTATTTCAAGACAAGTTAATTCTGTTGTAGTTCCCAATTTAATTTCTTTAGTGATTTTATCTTTAAAGACTTTGGATTATTATATTAGTATGCTACTCATAATTGTGTCAGTATGAAATGTCTGCATAAGAAGGACAATGATTTTGAATAGCTAATATGACAATATAATAGAGTCATGAAAAAGTAGCTGTAAACTAGAATGATTAAACAAGGAACTGGTTTGAGATTTCTGAGAACTAAAATGGATTCAGTAAAAAAAATGGTAATTTCTGTCTTTTCACTTGCAAATCACTGAGGAAGATATTAATCTAATCTTGTTTAATAGTAATATTTTATAACATTATTTGCAGTGTTCTCTTGAAAGACTGAGTCTACTAAGATAGTTTATAATGTAAATATACAAATAACCTCTAGCTACTTGGTATTTAGCTGTGGTTACCATGGGAAAAATTTATAGCATTTTTCTTTCTAATAGTAAAAGTTGAATCGAGTGTAATAAATTTCTTCTGTGCTGAGCAGTATTTTATCCAAAGTGCCACTTAAGCACAATATATCATATAGCTGCTGAATGTATAACTAGATCGTACGAGTTGGTTGTGTAAAAGGACACAGATCATTTTGAAATTTACATTTGAATTGAATATGGAAAATTGTAAATTATTTGGATGTGTTTTTTTAATCAAACTGTCACCTCTCCAAGTAAATTATTTTCTAGAGTTGAGTATCACTAAAATTGTGTTGGAATCAATTGTCTTTTAATTTTGTTGTAGTTTTTTTTTAGATTTTTGGTCACACCCGGCGGTGGTCAGGGGTTACTCCTGGCTCTGCATTCAGGAATTAATCCTGGCAGTGTTTGGGGGACCATGTGGGATGCCAGGGATCGAACCCGGGTTGGGTACGTGCAAGGCAAGCACCTTACCCATTGTACTATCTCTCCAGTCCCAAATTTTGTGGTAGTTTTGATGTAAGTATACTACTGTGGAAGCTAAAACGTTATCTCAAATAAATGCATGTTAACATTTTGCCTCTAGCCAATAAGAAGAAAGAGAAAGAACGCCCAGAGATCTCTCTTCCTTCAGACTTTGAGCATACGATTCACGTGGGGTTTGATGCTGTCACCGGGGAATTCACTGTAAGTAAGATCCTGAATTTGTTTTGTAAGCCATGAAAAAAGTCATTTATAAAATTAGGTTTCATGCAAGAATTACCATGTCCTAAAGTGTAAGATTTTATGTTTTTTAGAATTTCAATTAAAATCTACTTTGTTGGAATCACAGATGGAAGCAAAATAGTTGTAAGAGTACTAGAAAAATTATTTAGTCTATTTTAACAAAAATGTTGATCATACTTAGTGTTTAACTTGATTGAAAATGCCAGTTTACTGAGGCACAGTAGATATGGTTCTGGTAGAGAGACCTTGCTTGAGCCTGTTTTTGTCACTTAAAATTAATTAGAAAATCATCTACTCAATTTGGTTAGCCAAGATTCTTTATCTGATTAATTCAGGCTTTACATTAGAACCTGGATTACCCAGAATAGCTAATCATGCTAACCAAAAATCTCTCTAAAAATAGAACTTTTTTGTTTCCCCTTTGATTTTAATAACCTAGCCTATTTTTTAAGGATTATTAACAGAAATATATTGATAATGTTCAAAACAAACCATGTTCATGGATTTATCATGGGATGCTTTAGTGGTTATGTACTGCACATGTCTGTATACCAATAAAAATTATCTGTAGATATACTATATAATTCTCTAAAAATACCTATCAGAATTATCTAGAAAAACCATAGCTACAAGTCTAGTCTTTGTTTTGTATTTATATTGCTAGTTGATAGTGCAGATCTCAGATCTGTGGCATTTTATATTCATTTTTTTAAAAGATCTGGCATCTTTTTTTAGATGGATAAAGGAAAAGATGTGGCTAGAAAGATGTCTCCAAGAAGATCAACTACCTTATTCCATGCTAGTAAGGAACTCAACCAAAATGTGAGATAATGAGTAATTTTTAATGCATTCAGAAAAATTAAACTTTGATAGAACTATTTCATAAATCATTGGGTTCTTAAATCAGAGATAAATTTAGATATTAAATAATTGAATTTTTGTTCATAGTATTATGGTTAGCAAGTAGACTGTGTCATATTAATGAGTTTAAAAAGGGAATTTGATATAGAAAAGAAAACCATATTTCTGAATTGACAGCCGAATTATCTTATTTTTTCAATTCCAGAAGTAAACAATATGAGAATGAAATGGAAATTGAGTAAGCATCTTGGCCTTGTAAAGTGATGTGAGCTGATTGTTTCTGTGTTCTCAGTAGCAATCAGAAGAGAACATTAAGAAGTACTGACATTGATAAAGTTGACATGCTGGTAGGACTTAACCAATTTCATCATTGAAGTCAGAAACATTATTGAAATGGCCTTGAATAATGGTCCAGATGCTCTTCTTTACTATATTTGATATCATTCTCTTTCTCTTAGCTATTACATATGAAATATAATTTCATTGTCACTACAACCACCATCATCACTACCACCACATTATTGATGTTTATAAACTGAATAATCTTAGATTTAAAAACAAATATATTATGATTATCTGACATTTGAAACAATTTAAATGTGAAAGCACTTATCCTTTTATGTAAATTATCTGATAATTCTTCTCTATTTTAAGAACTTTATATTTTGAATTTTTGCCTTCATTTTCTGTTTTATTGTTTGTTTAAATTTTCTTATGTTTTATTGTTGCCAAATCTATTTTTTCTTGCTTTTTTCCTTCCTTTTTGTTTTCTAATATGAATGTTTTCTCTTCTATTATGCTCATGTAACATTCTGATTTCTTTCTGAATTTTTAGGTTTTTCACTCTTTCCAAATTCTGATACAATGGCTCTACTTAAGCTCTTCCTTTATTATTTATGGGTTGAAAATGAAAATGAAGGAAAGATCATCACCATCTTCCTCACTATAGACTAGCTATTTACAGTTTGCTTTCGTTTAGAATGCTGAAAATAACAAGAGGGGAATGGGTCAGAATATGGTATGGGAAATCTTTCTAGTCAGAAAAAACAGTTTGCAACTGAACTAAATTGGAAAACAATCTGTCTCTTATATCAAAAATTTAATTTGAAATGAAGCAGCAGTTTTAATGTAGCAAATTATAGGCCAGAGTGATAGAAAAGCAAGTGGCTGACCAAAATTTGATCCCTGGCACCACATATGGATCCCAAAGCCCACCAGGAGTGATCCCTAGCTCAGAGTCAGGAGTAAACCCTGAGCACCAGTGGGTGTGTCTCCCCCCAAATACATTGAACATATATGTAAGACATAGGTGAAATTTGGAAATTTAATGTGCTTTATTATCGTCTTGATTGTCTTTTATAAATATTTCCCATGTATTTTTTGATGTGTCAAATTTAGCCTTCTAAAATTTATATTTTTTAACTTTATGCACTATTTTGAAGGGATATTGCTTATTTGGTAGTGACTACTTTATGGTAGCATATATTTTGAAGAGGTGTGAAGTTGTACCCCCCAAATAAGTGATCCCATAAACCAATGTTGCTCCAATAAAATAAAATATATACTAAAGATATTAATAAGCTTTTAAAAACAATTTCATTGGTAGGATTTAGAATTGAGCCCTTATCAGCACAGTACTACTAATTCATTGTGTATGTGCGGAGGAAGGATAAGAGACATTACTAGAGCTCTGATTACTGCTAAAAGTTAAATTTTAAGCAATTTTTAAAAATGTATAGTCAGTCTAATAACTATTTTGAATATTTGCACATTTATATGGCGTGTTGCTTGTTGATTACCCTGTGGCTAATTGGCCCATAATACATTACACATATATCTTGTCATACACTTGGACCCTGAAATTAAAATTAGGTTGGATAGTGAGATTTTTGGCATTAAGTATCACAAGTTCTTACCCTTTATATTGCCATTTTTATACCAAATACCTCAGAACTGCCCCTTACAGACCTGTAGATAGTCACTTCAAGTCATTAAGGAAAATGATATGAGTGATATAAATGGTCATTATTTTAAGATAAGTGCTTGGGCTGTTGTATCGTGCTGCTATTCTCCTGTGCTATACTAGATAATCCCCAGCTTGATGTACATATAGTTGTTCACTGTATTCATGGTCAAGCACTGATATGTGCTCCTGCTTCTACTTTTCCATTAGATATCTAACTTTGGGGATTTATTCCTAAATTTGGAGTAATGAAATGGCTTTCAGACTGTATGCTTTTGTGGCTTACACTCAAATTTAAGTATCAGATTTAATTGATTAACTGGTTTTCCTCAACTTAAAAAAGAAATTATGTCATCAATATAGTTTATGTGGTAAGTATAGTTGTCTGGATCTATAGTTAGCAACTTTTCCTGCTCTCCAGTGATCATAAGACTATATTTATCAGAAAATTTTAGAATACCATGAGAATGTATAATTGCAGATATTGTGATGACTATGGTAATGACCATGCCAATGATGTCTGCTTTAGTGGTTATGTGCAATTCATACCTGGTTTTGTAGCATTTCATGGTTCCTTTGGACATTAGAGTATTAGAAAATTGCTATTAACAAATTGCTATTAATTATACTTAGTATCTGAACTGGGATCATGCATGAACTTCTGAGTTCAAACTTTTGACTTTGCCGAACTTTTTATGTCTTTAACATCAAATTGTGTTATGAATGCACATAAAAGTATAGTTACACTATGCTTATAGTAACTCTCAAATTCCAGGAATTGAAAACACATCCCTAACCAAACCAGTTGGGTTAAGAATGTTTTTGTAGCACTGGAGATATTTTTATTTGTACAAAACTATTACCTAATATCTGATCTTGTTTTGTGGGAAGTAGACTTCAGAACTGTAGTAGTAGAATGGAAATTACTCTTATATGTTAGAAATAAAATACTTTTCCTTGTCCTACTGTAAATGTTTAAGAAATTTAATATAAAGTCTGGCTATGTGATAAGTCCTTAATCTAGTTTTCTATAAGCCAGTCCTGATTTTAGTTAGCAAGTATGGAAGAATCACATTAATGAGTGCAAATACTATACTAAGCTTCACTATATAGTTATCCATTGAATTTTAGCCATACAGACATTTGCAATGTGAAACTAAAAATGGTTAACCAGAATTGGGAACTGAAATTTGTAAGTTTATTACTTGTCCATTGGCTACCTGTGATCACCTAGTTACAAGAACAACTTACAAATTATTATCAAAACTTTTCATGATGCCATCCTTCTTCCCTCCAAATTCATGCTTCTGGCTTTTAGTAATTTCTCTGGTCATTTATTTAATGATAATTCTTATTCATATTTCTTGAAGAAGCATCTAACAAAATATAAAATTATCCTTCCAAACTTTGGGACATTGTGATTTTCTCTAATTTGTAGCTCACCCTGCCCCTGATTTAGTTAATACCTCCCTGTTTTCATAATGCCCACTTTAGAAGGTACCCCCTCTATTTAGACTCATTGGTTTCATTTCCTCCCACCTTCTAAGTTGTCCCACATTCTGTTTTAACTTTCTTTTCTTTCTTTATTTACGTCCATTACAGCCAGATCTCTATGGCTCACAGATGTGCCCAGGGAAGCTCCCAGAGGTGCGTCACAGGCCCAAAAGAAGCTTGCATCAAAGTGCTTCTTTGAGATGTCATAGCACTGCAGCAGCAGGTTCATGTGTGTGCAGTAGAGTTGTTGCTTGGCTTATTTCACATTTTTGTTGTCATTCCCAAACTCTGGAGGCCCACGTCACACATTGTTTTGCCGGACTTCATGGGACAAAGCCACATCAATTGTGTCTAGATGCACTTTAGGAGGAGTGTGTCTGATTGTCACTCCAAGTGATTTTTGGAGGTTGGATAATGATGAAATGGGGACATATGTAGGATGAACATACAGGGAAGAATGCTGAATACTCAATATAAAACAAACCTCTCTGTGTAAAATGTGCAATTCTCCTTGGTTAGCTTTCCAAATATCCTTGCTCTATGTTCTAAAAGCTTAGATTATTGTAAATTCTCACAAGGTTTCAGCATGGCTGTCACAGTCCCCAGGTTCCATGTGACCAATTAATGATGTGGGGAGGAGAGGGAATGGAAGGAGGAGAGGAGAAAGCTGTATGGCAAATGCCCAAAGCAGCATTAACATTAGTTATTATTTAGTGTCTCAGTGCTTATTGCTCCTCCACAATTCTATTTTTCTCCTCTAACTCCCCATTTATTTAAATGCTCTAAGCACTAAAAAGCATATTTTGTAATCACAAAGCATAAATTGACCAAGGGTTAGACTTTCCTTTTATTCTAAAGATTTTCTGATTGCAACATTCCCATAAACTGCTTATGTTATTCCAGTCATATAAAATCTGCACTATACTATGTTGTGCACAAATTTAGAGAAGTCTTGCTATGTCTGCCCTGAGTCACCAGAAAAACTAAGCTAAGCCGTGAACATCATTTCATGGATGAGCAGAGTAAATATGGAGGTGATTTTCATGCTCTTTTTTTTTCTACCACAGTCATATTCCCACCTACCCTTTTTAAGTTGGATCCTAGTTTTACCTATGTGTTTTAATTAGAGAAGAGAATGATTGCATTAAGTTACTAACTTTAAATCTAGAGTGTAACTTCAGTTTCCCAAGTGTAATCCTACAGGTAGCATGGGCTTCTTGGTGGAGAACTTTACTGGAATATGAAAATGCAAATGCAAGATGTTCTAAGCTGTCATTCTTTCCTTTTGGTTGTCCACAGGGAATTCCTGAGCAATGGGCACGATTACTCCAAACTTCCAACATAACAAAACTGGAACAGAAGAAGAACCCTCAGGCTGTTCTAGATGTTCTCAAATTCTATGATTCCAAAGAAACTGTCAACAACCAGAAATACATGAGCTTTACATCAGGAGGTAAGAGTAAATCTAAGGTAAAAAATGATGAGAAATGATTCTAACTTCAGAGCCTCATAATTAAAACAAAAACCTTGTAAGGCATTTGAAATCAGTTCTAGTTCCTTTTCTAAGTGACTTTAACCTACGTCAACCAAAAGATGAGTAGGAAGGTGAAATAGATGTTAGGAGACATATAATACTTGAGTATCTTTAGAATTCAAAAAAATTATTCAGTGAAGCAGTTGTGTCAGTTTGAATCAGAAATTAGAATTGTCTGGTCTCTTCATATTATGGAAACCCAGTAACTTCGAATTAGGCCTTCTGATATATTCATGAAGCTTAAAGAATATGGGTAAGACAAGTCTCTTGAAATTAGTTTTATTCCCTATGTAACTTGATTCACACCACAATGACAACACATGTTTTATAGATGCCAGTTTTTTATCACACCCCCCAAATCAGGCTTATAATGGACTAGCAATAGTACAGTGAGTAGGGCTCTTGCCGTATATTCATTCTACCTAGGTTCAGTCCTCGACACCCCACATGGTCCCCCAAATCTCATCAGGAGTGGTGGCCCCTGAACACTGAGCAAGGAGTAAATCGTGAACAACATGAGGTGTGGCCCAAAACCAAAAAACTCAGACTTACAAAAAGGAAACCACATCTGACTAATTAAATAGATCAAAATAGCCATGTTCCTGCCAAATTTCTACTTAATTTGGTAGCTAGTGTGTGGTCCATGTCTTTGTTTGAAACTTTGACATTAAAACTTTGACTGTAAGCAACTGGAAGACTAATCTCTTCAGGAGTGGTGGCCCCTGAGCACTGAGCCAGGAGTAAATCGTGAACAACATGAGGTGTGGCCCAAAACCAAAAAACTCAGACTTACAAAAAGGAAACCACATCTGACTAATTAAGTAGATCAAAATAGCCATGTTCCTGCCAAATTTCTACTTAATTTGGTAGCTAGTGTGTGGTCCATGTCTTTGTTTGAAACTTTGACTATAAACAACTGGAAGACTTATCACAAATAATACATTTTTTTTTGCTTTTTGGGTCACACCCAGCGATGCTCAGGGGTCACTCCTGGCTCTGCACTCAGGAATTACTCTTGGCGGTGCTTGGGGGACCATATGGTATGCTGGGGATCGAACCTGGGTCGGCTGCGTGCAAGGCAAACGCCCTCCCCACTGTGCTATCGCTCTGGCCCTCAAATAATACTTTTTTATAAAAGCAATTTTACTACTTGAGTTTTCCCTCTAGGACAATTTATTATTTTATAACTGAATATAGTGGCAATTTGGGGTAAGAAACAAATTCTGAGAATTTTATAGCTATTAATGAATACATTAAAATATTTTCTTAGTTCTAGTCACCTAGAACTACAATGAACTTGGCACGTAGTTCTAGTTTTCCTCACACTAAGCAGTTTTATATGTTGTCAAGGTCTCAGACTTTTTATTCCTGTGTATGACTAAATACCATAAAAGGACTTCCCTGATATATATATATATATATATATTTAAAAATTTTGCTATCATTAGTGCTGCAGTATCTTTAGTAATCATATAAGGATATAGTTGGAAGGGGAGAATTGTTTGATTTTATATTCCAATATCAAAGCCAAAATTTAAAGGTTCAGCAGTTTATGTTAAATGGGACTGCTAAAGTGAGAACTTTTCTTAAACTGCTGTATCCAATAATGAAAACATAAAACTCTAAGTTGCTGCTACTTTTTTAATACTCTGGTTTTAGTGTCATATTTTTACAATTTACATAGATGAAATCCAGAAAACTATGTTAGTGCTCAACAGTATCTGAATTATTGTACTATCTTGAGTTCATGCTCTAGTGTTGACTGACAGAATAGGAGGAGGAATAGAAGAATAGAAGATAGAGGAAAGGGAAAAAAGGGGAAGAGGGAAGGAGGAAACGAGGATAGATTTTTGAATATAAATATATGGAACATACCATTTTGGAGTAAATAATTGCTACGTCCCCCCATATACATGAAATTCTCTGGAGGAATTATTACCTATAGCTATGTAAAATGGAGAGAACTTGGTGAGAATGTGAATGTGTGAATTATTTTAAGAAAACTTATTTGTCATATCTATTGAATTTGGAGAATTTGGTCAAGCATATAATTTTAGTACATTCTCTAAATGAGACAGTCTTTGTAAAATAAAGGTGATTTATTTATCTTCACTTTGCAGATAAAAGTGCACATGGATACATAGCAGCCCATCCTTCGGTAAGCAAAATTTTGAAAACAGTTTTGTGTGACCAATGTTTCTGGTGGTTCAACAGAATGTAATTTTGCAGATCCAGGTTTTAGAGATAGGGTATTTATTTATTTATTTATTTTTAATGTAGAACCTACTGGTATATTTGGTTGCTCTGTTTGTTGAGTATTTAGATGTAGAAACATGTTTTGCGAGAGATGAGGCCCCATTTGAAACTCATGGAATGCTATGGTTCCCAAAGGCAACTCATGCCAGAAGTCAAAATGCATCATATGTATCACTTTTACAGAGGTGCTAAGTGCTTACTATAGTTACTATATAATTTTTAAAATAATTGTAGTTAAGGTGATATGGTTTTTACACTGTGTAAAGTAAATTAAAAGAGAGAGAAAGAAAGAAGAAAGAAAAAGAAAAGAAAGAAATGAAAGAGAAAAAGAAAGAAAGAAAGAAAGAAAGAAAGAAAGAAAGAAAGAAAGAAAGGAAGAAAGGAAGAAAGAAAAGAAAACTACTTTGACAGTAGTGTTAAGTTTATGAATTTGTTATAAGAAGTCCTGCACCTCACCTCCACAAAATACACATGACCCTCCATTACTGTGCTTAAGTCACTCCTGGTCTGATCTTCATCCCCTACCTTACTCCCACTGTTCATTAGTCAATTTTATAATGCAAAGCCAAAGGCTTGCCATTGTTTAATATTGCTTATTTCTTGTTTTATCTCTCTACATTACAAGGATGAGTGATATAATTTGTTGTTCACCCCTTGATTTATTTCACATAACATGATACTCTCCAGATCCATCCACATTTCAGCAAGCTGAATAATTGATCTTTCTTTCTTTCTTTCTTTCTTTCTTTTTTTTTTTCTTTTTTTTTTTTTATTTTTCTCTTCCCAATAAAACCCCACCCCCCACCCCTCCCCGTCCCTGTGAGGCAGATGAATTCTAGTTAACACTCTATCTGCTTTGATTAGATTCATTGTTTCAATAAAAGATTCACCACTATTATTTAGAGTTTACCCCCCCCCCCCAAATCAGACATGCTGAAAAAGCATTGTGAAGTGATTTGCTTTCTACGGCTGGGTTCAAGAATTAAATGTTGGTTTTGGATTTCTGCTATTTTACCTATTGACCCTGGAAGTATTTCTACTGAAAGTCAGATAGTTAAGAAATTGGTTTCTGTGTTCTGGAGTCGTGGCCGTGCTGGAGAGCCGCTCGCGGGGGGCAACCGGTGGCCTCAATAGGGCGTGAAGGGCGGAGCGAAACGCCCCCCTTCCCATGAGGTTTTAGTCGCCCCCACACTCCCGGCTCATACCTGCTGTCCACAAGGCTCCCATGTGGCCACCATCTTTCTTTCCAGAGAGGAGAGGGCGAATGGGGCAACACCCTTTCCCCTCCGGCAGACTTGATGGCCTGGATCACTGCATAGTCCGTTCACTTTTCTGCTCCAAGCTGCTGGGTTCTGCATTAAGTCCTTGTGCTTCTGGGGCCGTGGCCGTGCTGGAGAGCCGCTCGCGGGGGGCAACTGGTGACCTCGGTAGGGCGTGAAGGACGGACCAGAACGCCCCTCTTCCCGTGAGGTTTTAGTCGCCCCCACACCCCCGGCTCATACCTGCTGTCCACAAGGCTCCCATGTGGCCGCCATCTTTCTTTCCAGAGGGAGGAGGGCGGAAGGGAGCAACACCCTTTCCCCTCTGGGCAGAAATGATTGCCTGGATTAACGCATAGTCCTTTCACTTTTCTGCTCCAAGCTGCTGGGTTCTGCATTAGGTCATTGTGCTTCTGGGGCTGTGGCCGTGCTGGAGAGCCGCTTGTAGGGGCAACTGGTGGCCTCAGTAGGGCGTGAAGGACGGACCGGAACGCCCCCCTTCCCATGAGGTTTTAGTCGCCCCCACACTCCCGGCTCATACCTGCTGTCCACAAGGCTCCCATGTGGCCGCCATCTTTCTTTCCAGAGAGGAGAGGGCGAATGGGGCAACACCCTTTCCCCTCCGGCAGACTTGATGGGCTGGATCAACGCATAGTCCGTTCACTTTTCTGCTCCAAGCTGCTGGGTTCTGCATTAAGTCCTTGTGCTTCTGGGGCTGTGGCCGTGCTGGAGAGCCGCTCGTGAGGGGTGACTGGTGACCTCGGTAGGGCGTGAAGGACGGACTGGAACGCCCCCCTTCCCATGAGGTTTTAGTCGCCCCCACACCCCCGGCTCATACCTGCTGTCCACAAGGCTCCCATGTGGCCGCCATCTTTCTTTCCAGAGGGAGGAGGGCGGAAGGGAGCAACACCCTTTCCCCTCTGGGCAGAAATGATTGCCTGGATTAACGCATAGTCCTTTCACTTTTCTGCTCTAAGCTGCTGGGTTCTGCATTAAGCCCTTGTGCTTCTGGGGCTGTGGCCGTGCTGGAGAGCCGCTCGTGGGGGGCAACTGGTGACCTCGGTAGGGCGTGAAGGACGGACCGGAACGCCCCCCTTCCCATGAGGTTTTAGTCGCCCCCACACCCCCGGCACATACCTGCTGTCCACATGGCTCCCATGTGGCCGCCATCCTTCTTTCCAGAGAAGAGAGGGCGAATGGGGCAACACCCTTTCCCCTCCGGCAGACTTGATGGCCTGGATTAACGCATAGTCCTTTCACTTTTCTGCTCCAAGCTGCTGGATTCTGCATTAAGTCCTTGTGCTTCTGGGACTGTGGCCGTGCTGGGGAGCCGCTCGTGGGGGGCAACTGTTGACCTCGGTAGGGCGTGAAGGATGGACCGGAATGCCCCCCTTCTCGTGAAGTTTTAGTCGCCCCCCACACCCCCGGCTCATACCTGCTGTCCACAAGACTCCCATGCGGCCGCCATCCTTCTTTCCAGAGAAGAGAGGGCGAATGGGGCAACACCCTTTCCCCTCTGGGCAGAAATGATGGCCTGGGTTAACTCATCGTCCGTTCACTTTTCTGCTCTAAGCTGCTGGTTTCTGCATTAAGTCCTTGTGTTTCTGGGGCTGTGGCCATGCTCCAAATTTAACTCTGATTTTCAGGGAGAAAGATTGGGTGGTTTACTTCTCATTGATCACTTTGTATATAGAGAGATGTCGCGCGGCCGCTTATGCGGCCGCGCGGTTTTGAGAAAAAGTCCTCGTTCCCGCATACTCGAGCTGTGTTTGTAGAGGCTTCTGGTCACCAGGGTTCCATCTGGGGGAGGCGGGATGCGGCGCCTACTCCATCTGGAACTTGCCGGTGCTCTCGGCTCTTTTTGGAGCCTGTTTTTTCTCTTTTCTTTTCCTCCGGGATCCCGCACCCTCCATGTGTTCCTTCTCTTATGCTGAACGCTTCAAAGATGGCGCTGGGGGGCGGGCTGTGGGCGTGACTTCCGGAATCAGAGGTTACCTGGGAGGTGTAGTCCGGCAGATTTGAGAAAAAGTCCTCGTTCCCGCATACTCGAGCTGTGTTTGTAGAGGCTTCTGGTCACCAGGGTTCCATCTGGGGGAGGCGGGATGCGGCGCCTACTCCATCTGGAACTTGCCGGTGCTCTCGGCTCTTTTTGGAGCCTGTTTTTTCTCTTTTCTTTTCCTCCGGGATCCCGCACCCTCCATGTGTTCCTTCTCTTATGCTGAACGCTTCAAAGATGGCGCTGGGGGGCGGGCTGTGGGCGTGACTTCCAGAATCAGAGGTTACCTGGGAGGTGTAGTCCGGCAGATTTGAGAAAAAGTCCTCGTTCCCGCATACTCGAGCTGTGTTTGTAGAGGCTTCTGGTCACCGGGGTTCCATCTGGGGGAGGCGGGATGCGGCGCCTACTCCATCTGGAACTTGCCGGTGCTCTCGGCTCTTTTTGGAGCCTGTTTTTTCTCTTTTCTTTTCCTCCGGGATCCCGCACCCTCCATGTGTTCCTTCTCTTATGCTGAACGCTTCAAAGATGGCGCTGGGGGGCGGGCTGTGGGCGTGACTTCCGGAATCAGAGGTTACCTGGGAGGTGTAGTCCGGCAGATTTGAGAAAAAGTCCTCGTTCCCGCATACTCGAGCTGTGTTTGTAGAGGCTTCTGGTCACCGGGGTTCCATCTGGGGGAGGCGGGATGCGGCGCCTACTCCATCTGGAACTTGCCGGTGCTCTCGGCTCTTTTTGGAACCTGTTTTTTCTTTTTTCTTTTCCTCCGGGATCCCGCACCCTCCATGTGTTCCTTCTCTTATTCTGAACGCTTCAAAGATGGCGCTGGGGGGCGGGCTGTGGGCGTGACTTCCGGAATCAGAGGTTACCTGGGAGGTGTAGTCCGGCAGATTTGAGAAAAAGTCCTCGTTCCCGCATACTCGAGCTGTGTTTGTAGAGGCTTCTGGTCACCAGGGTTCCATCTGGGGGAGGCGGGATGCGGCGCCTACTCCATCTGGAACTTGCCGGTGCTCTCGGCTCTTTTTGGAACCTGTTTTTTCTTTTTTCTTTTCCTCCGGGATCCCGCACCCTCCATGTGTTCCTTCTCTTATCTTTCTTTCTTTCTTTCTTTCTTTCTTTCTTTCTTTCTTTCTTTCTTTCCTTCCTTCCTTCCTTGCTTCTTTCTTTCCTTCTTTCCTTCTTTCTTTCTCTTCTTTCTCTTTTTTACTTTCTTTCCCTCTCTTTTGTATTTTCTCTTTTTCACCTTCCTTCCTTCCTTCCTTCCTTCCTCCCTCCTTCCTTCCTTCCTTCCTTCCTCCTTCTCTCTCTCCTTCCCTCCCACCCTCTTTCCCTCACACCTTCCTTTCTTTCTTTCTGTTTTTGGGCCATACCCGGTGGTGTTCAGAGTTTGGGACACTATATCAGTCAGATGTGGAAAATAGAACCCAGGTCAATTGTATTGCAAGGCAAATGCCCTACTAGCTGTACTATCTCTCTGGCCCCATGATTACATTTTTTACAGGCTGCATAATATTACATTGTGCACATATACCACAATATCTTTATCCATTAATCTGACATTAGAATTTTAGTTTGTTTCCATATCATAGCTGTTAATCTAAGTGCTTCAATGAATTTAGGTGTACACATTTATTTTTGAATTAATGTTTTTGT